GATCCTTCGTAGGAAACTTGCTATTGGGGAGGTGCGAGGCGGGTAGTCAGGACAGGGACCATTATCACAATGATCGAGGGAAGGGGTCACTCTTGACAAGGACTGGGTGCTGAAAGGAGGTAAAGTGACATGTGGGATACCCTTTTCATAACAATAGTGTAAACCACAATGCCAAAAAAAAGGGGTGGAAAAGGGAAAAGGAAATGTGCATGCTGTAAAGGCAGATTGGGGAGTGGGAGGGAAACTGGGAATATTGGTGGAGGGATTGGCTTTGGAACTTTTACAACTGAAACTCAATCATGAGTAACATTGTAACTTTGTAATTAATGATGATTCAATTAAAAAATTCTAGATAAACAAAACAATGAAGTACATGGTGTTTTCTGACCTTGAGTTCCCACTACCTTGAAGCCCTCCACAGCAGGGAGTGGAAAGTTCATCATGGAGGGTTTCCTAGGATTAATTTACTGCATAGGACTCATACAAGGACTTGACTGAGAGAACTGGGCTCATTGGAAGAGGACCAGGAAGAAGGTTTTCAGCGACAGGCTTGTCTTTCCTGATTTGGGCAGAGGTGTTCTGGGTTTATGAGTAAATAGGCCAAGGGAATTTGTTTTGAGGAGCCATGAGACATGGTACCCTTACCCACTTTTTCCATACTGACTGCCAGGACGCTTTCCGGACCCGTGCGGCCACTTTGCGGCTGCACGACACATCATAAGACACTAAATACCCATCTTCCGGAATTGTCGCACCATATTTGATAGGGTTCAAATATGGTAACACCTACAAGGGTGATTAGAGGTCGCCCCAAAAGCCTCTATCCCTCTTGGAAAGACTGGCAAGCTACCGAGAGTATTCCGCCCGCATGGAAGAGCCTGGCAAGCTATCCGTTGTGTATTCGATATGCCAAAACCAGTAACTACAACTGGTCTCATTCACCTGACCCTGAAGGCTTCACCGACATGGCAGCACTGAGAAGGATGAGAAAGGAGAGGCCGACAAAATCTCAAGGCCGACCTAGGCTGCCACAACAAAGGAAGACAAAAATGATCGTCTGTACTTTCAATGCACGTACGCTAGCATCAGATGCATCCATCGAGGACCTGATGGTACAAGCACGAATGATCAAGTACGACATCTTTGGTCTGACTGAGACAAGAAGGCACGAATCTCACCATGCCGTTTTCGACACTGGAGAAGAATTTTTCCTCGGAACATGCGATAAAAGAGGTGTTGGAGGTGTCGGTGTCCTTGTAAACACAAACTTGGCCAAGAGCATTGATTCATTCGAATGCCTAATAACCCGAATCGGACGTTTACATTTGAATAGATGTGGCTCACTGCCTGCAGTTTCTATCTTCGTTGTCTACGCACCAATATCCAATTATGATGAAGGAGAAATTGAGAAGTTCTACATGGAGCTGCAGAAGTTCTATAAAGAAGACCACACCTTCTACAAGATCATTTTGGGTGATTTTAATGCCAAGATAGGAACAAGAAGATCAGCTGAAGAACTTCACATTGGGACCCATGGCCTAGAATGGAACGAACAGGGTGAGAGACTCTCTGAGTTCATCATGTCGACCAAGACCATCCATGGTAACTCACAATTCCAGAAGGCAGAATCTAAACGATGGACATGGGAGTCTCCCGGTGGACGATTTCACAACGAAATAGACCACATCATATTCAATCGACAGTTTTGCCTGAGCAATGTCGCTGTTGTCCCAAAATTTCGAACGGGATCGGACCACCATCTCCTTCGTGCAAAATCTACTTCACAGAGCAGGGAGAAAGGGCTGCAAAGTTCAAAAAGAGAACTCCCAGAATGACCACCAACTGGGAACTCTTTGGCACTATTGCGGCAACATGGGAAGATGCCATTGTTGACAACATTGACGAGGAATACGATCGACTGGTTCAGCACCTCCATGTATGTGCGAGGAATGCCAAGAGAGAGATAGCCACAAAAAATCACCTATCTTCGAAAACTCTTGAGCTAATTCGCCAGTGTGGTTTGGCGCATGCCTCAGGCAACCGCAAGCTAACGTCCGAGCTCACAAAGCAGTGCAGAGATGCGATCAAGGAAGACCTTAAAGAGAGAAGAGCAGAAGTACTGGTAGATGTGGCAGAAGCCGGGAAAAGTATTCGTAACGCCCGCTTGTCCTTCGCCAACTACAAGACCAAGATGACTGCCCTCCAACATCCTGATGGATCCATCACATCCTCCAGAATGGCAATGGAGAAGATTATCCATGACTTCTACTCAAATCTCTTCGATAGCCATGTCCACTTGCCGACATACCAAATTCCACAGGATGGATATGTCGTTCCCAATGTTCTCCCTTCCGAAATCCGACACGCCATTTCGTTGGTAAAGAAACAAAGATCATCCGGCCCAGACAAGGTCAGACCTGAACACCTGAAGAACCTGCTGTCAGTACTCATCAATACACTGGCTTGGCTCTTCACTCGCTACCTGTCTGAATGCAAGGTTCTGTCCTAGGGAAAACCAGCAGGACTGTACTACTGTGCAAGAAGGGAGACATCCATGACATTGGCAACTATCTCCCGATCTGCCTGTTGTTTGTCATCTACAAGCTGTTCACTTCTAGTCATCCTGAATAGAATTGGCATAATGCTAGATGAAGGACAACCATGTGAGCAAGCTGGGTTCCGCAAAGGATTCAGCACCATCGACCATATCCACATGATAACCAAGCTCATTGAGGTTTCTCGGGAGTTCAAGATGTCGCTCTGTTTAATGTTCATTGATTTAAAGAAAGCCTTTGATTCTGTTGAGACGGAAGCGGTCATTGAAGCCCTAGCCAATCAGGGCATTCAAGCCCAATACATCAGGATCCTCCGTGAGCTGTATTGCGGATTCACTACCAGGATCTCACCATTCTACAAAGAAGTGATCGTTGATGTCAAGAGAGGGGTGCGGCAGGGTGATACTATTTCACCGAAACTCTTCAGTGCCACCCTCGAAAACATCATGCGACGACTGGAATGGGAAGGAATGGGAGTGAAGATAGATGGTCGGCAACTATACTACCTCCGCTTTGCTGATGACATTGTTTAAATAACACCAAACATCATCCAAGCGGCACAAATGCTGGCTGACTTTTACCGTGAGTGTGGAAAGGCAGGACTACAGCTGAATCTTACGAAGACAATGTTCATGAGAAACAGACTCGTTCCTGACGCCCCATTCGCTCTCAATGGAACGACCATCTTCGAATGCAACAGCTATGTGTACCTAGGTCGAGAGGTCAACATGACAAATGACCTGGCACTCGAGTTGCGCAGGAGGAAGAGAGCGGCATGGAACGCCTTCAAGAACGTCGAAGAAATAGCTAAGAGAACGAGGAACCTTCGGCTCCGGGCACATCTCTTTGATTCCAGTGTTGTTCTTGCATTAACATATGCCTCAGAGACCTGGGCCCTACGCAAACAAGATGAGAACGCTATTCAGGTCTCCCAAAGAAGAATAGAAAGAGCTATGCTTGGAATGTCTCGTTTCACTCAAATGAGAGAAAGAATCCGGAGTTCTGACATCCGTCAATGATCAAGAATCAGGGACGCTGTCTCGTTTGCCAAGGTGTCAAAAATCAGATGGGCTGGTCACATAATGAGATTTAAAGACAACCGCTGGACTAGAGCTGTTACCGACTGGATTCCACGGGATGTCAAAAGACCGTGTGGTCGCCCACCTACCAGATGGTCAGACTTCTTCGTCAAGATCATGAGCGATCGGTTTGAGGCCCTTCATGTTCCTGGAGCGAACAGATGCCATTGGGCTACACTAGCACGTGACAGGGACAAATGGAGACGTTACTGGCGCCCGCTCGAGCAAATCGACGACTAACAGGTAGTTAAGTGATTAAGTGATTAAGTGACTGCCAAACATCAGTCTCTGAATCAATCTGCCACTGTCCCATCTTCCCTCATCATACCTCTATATTAGTATTTCTCAATTTTTGTTTCTGCCCTTGTTCCCTTCCTCAGCCACCATCATATTGGTTGGTTCCTTAGTCTTTTACCCTGTCTCAACCCCCAATTTACATGTGGTTTTCAGCTGTGGTCCTCTTGGAATATCTCAGGGGCCTACAGGAATCATATGGCTCCTGGTTGAGAGACACTGGACTACATCAGCAGTTACCAACATTTTTTTTTCTTTTGGGGTCACACCCAGCAATGCACAGGGGCTGCTCCTGGCTCTTCTCTCAGGAATTACTCCTGGCGATGCTCTGGGGACCATATGGGATGCTAGGAATTGAACCCGGGTCGGCTGTGTGCAAGACAAACACTTTACCCACTGTGTTATTGCTCCAGTCCCCAGTTGCCAACATTTTTACACCTGTCCTGAGCACCAGTTCATGGATGCCAGATTGTTAATGGTATTATGCCTTCAGAGTGCATGGACCAGCAGTCAGAAACCACTGACTCACCTTGCCTGCTTTATCGTTGATTCTCTGTCCAATACCCTCCCATCTCTTGTCCTGTTGTCAAGGTGATTGATGACTCGTTTTGCTAAACTATTTAGTCTGCTCTTCTACCCGACAGCATAGCATTGGGCAAAGGTGATCAGCTCTCCTTGAAATGTTTTATTTTCCTAATCCAGGAGACCTTGAAACTTTGGACTTCTAGTTTCCTTTCTCCTCCTGCAACCTTGTGTGACATTTCCCCCCAGTCTGCTTGCTCTTCCTCTTCCATTTGAACATTGTGTGATCTCAGATTTATGTCTCTCAGCCTCTACTTTGTGGATACTCTCTAGTACTTTTCACCCAATATCATAGTGTTAAATGTTGTGCTCTTGTGAATCATTCTAAAAATCTCAAAGTGTATCCATTCTGCTTCCAAAAATCACACTCATTGCCTGGTTGATGCCTCTATTTGGAGTTCTCAAAACCACCTCAAATAATAGCTCTAAAGTGAAATACTGGATTTGCATGCCTACATATTCCTTTCCCTTACTAGTAATTAATTTATTAAACAAGTATCTCTTCAGCATGTGTCCTAGTTAATCTGCTTGGTACTTGAGATGTGGCCATAAATAAATAATAAAGGCCTTCCTTCATGGAGTTTATAATCTAGCTCAGAGGATGTGGTGAGCTGAATTGTTAAACTGACAAGAACAGATATTACACTCGATCTTAACCAAAAGGCCAAGAAGTAACATGTTGAGAAATGAACTGTTTGATGCTAGCATTAAAGAACTTTACTACACTCAAAACCTCAAAATATAGACTTATTTCAAAGTAGGTCTTCAGATATAAGTCGTTAAGTTAAAATGAGTTCAAACAAGAGTAGTGTTTCTTTCTTATAAAACCAGTGATTTGAACATGGGTATGATTTTAGGGTGAAGGTGTTACATTTACAAGCCTAAAAAGACCAAAGATAGATAAATCACCACCAGCTATGGAAGAGGCATGGGACAGGTGGAACAGATTCTTCTCCCTTCCTTTCACTTTCTTTTCCTGGGCTGCCCCTTGCCCCCCCACCTCCTGCGCCCGTCCCTCCTGCCCCCGACCTCCACCCCACTTCTGAAGAAAGAAGCAACTTTCCTGCTGTCTTGATCTTGGGCTTCCATCCTTTGAAACTGTGAGGCAATGCATTCCTATTTTCCTAAGCCACTGATCTTATAGTTTTTTGTTATAGCAGTTTTAGCAAACTTACCTGGCAAAGACAGTGTACAGAAACACATCAATATCCCAGGGATTCCAATTAGGATACATGTAACAGAGAAAACAAAACAATGCTAGGGGGAAAAAAACAATGCTAAGGAAGCTCTGGGAGGGAATGGGGGTAATTTTATAAATGGTGGGCAGGGAAGACCTCAAAGAGCAAATGGTATTGGAGCTGAAAGCTGGAGGGGAAAAGGGAATGAGTTTTAGAGATATTAATGAGAAAAGTGATCTAATAAGAATAAAGGGCAAATTCAAAGACCCTAAGGGGGAACATACACTTCCACTTCCGTCAAAGCCCTAGGACACATGCTGGGTTTCTCTCTTTACATCATATTCACATCCAACCCATGAGCAAATTCTGTTGACTCTGTCATAAAAATATATCAGTACCAGTCCACCTCCACCTTCCTCACCTGTTATAAACCACCCTTATCTTTTTCTTGGATTTAAACAGAAACCTCAGGCTTTAGAAATCACTCTACTTCTGTTTTTATTCACATCCAAATCTAAAAGTCTATTTTTGTGTGTGTGTATGCAGCAACCAGTGCCTTTTCTCAAGGGCCACAGAATAATTTCTCTTCCCTGCTCATCAGAATCTAAAGTTTTCCATCTCTTACCAAGTTAAAGTTAGATTTTACATGGGTTCCCTTCTGAGACCAAGACTCAGCTTCCTCTGTTCCAGTTGCCTTGGCTACCTGTCAGGAGACAATGAAGCAAAGGCTGCTTGCTCCTAGCTCTAATATCTCTCACTGACTATTTCCTTTCCTTGACATATTTATACAAATCTTAATGAAGCTTCATTCTTAATTTGGTTTGAGCCTTGACTCACCTGCTCAGATCTCCAAGCTGATTTTTGCATGATGCCCATTTTCATCTTGTGCATAGAAGATGACTGGGATGTGTGTCTTAAACTACGGTGTTACCAGATGAATAATTCCATGAGATTCCACGCTGCATTGTCTTTGGATACAAGTATGGAGAACAATACTATCTGGTAATTATAGATTTTAAATTATTGATCCTGTGGGGTAGTCAACTCTCACGTTATAGAAGAAAACAAAGCCCAGAGTGTTTTATTTTGGGGCTGGGAAGTTATTGAGCCATACCTAGCTGTGATTAGAGCTACTCCTGGGTCTATGCTCAGAGATCACTCTTGCTGGTGCTCAAGTGACCACCTGGGATACCAGGGATTGAACTTAGGTTGACTGTTTGCAAGGCAAGCACCTTATTCACTGTATTATCCAGTCCCAAGACTCAGAATGGTACAGTAGATTTTATAAATTCACATGCTGATAAATGCCAAAATATGGATACAAACTTTGACTTAGTGAATGCCAAGGAATATTCTCCTCTGCTAAATGGACTAATGTTTCTCTTCATCTATCACTCTTGTTGTAGAGTCCAGGAATATTTAAATTAGAAAAAAAGGCTTAAAAGTCAAATGATTATTTTCTTGGCTTTAAAGCAGAAGGAATACTCCAAATACCATCTGTTCTTGGTCTGTTCCTGCTGAGAGGAAGTGATATATGTGAGTGAATAATTAAGGCATTCAATATTAGCAGAGTATTGGCAAGGACTGATAATAGCTCACATTTATTGAGGGTGTCCTATGTAGTAGGCCAGGTGCTAAACTCATTTGAGCTTCATCTTGGGACAACTATGAGGGTATTCTTATAGAATGTTTACTTTATAAGTGAAGAGAGAGGTTCATAAAAGAGGTCACATACCTGTGCTCACACCTCTGGAGGCATGTGGTAGAGCTGGGAATTTAACCAAGGGTCAAATCTGACTCCTTAGTGTTTGCTCACTGATAGGTAGTAGGTGAATTTTGAATAATGTGGAATTTATCACTCTAAATTATGGATTAGATGTGACTCTATTTAGAGTCAGGGAGATGCTTGAAAGGATCTGAGAAGGGAATTCCATTTTCCTTGATCAAAATGTCAAGATAGGTTTTGTTTCAGAATCAGTGTATATTACTTAAGCAATGAAAGACATGGATCTTTGCTTGGTTTGTAGAGCAGGTCTTGAATAAAAATTTTTGTAACACTGATGAAAATAAACCACCCCAGCCAATGTTAATGGCCTTTGGAGACTTTTTTTATTTTTTATTTAATCTGTCCTGTCTCCTAAAATTGTAGTTTCCTAGAACCTGTCATGACTTGCAGTGGGGAACTTACTGCACTCTGATTTTCTGACATAATCTTCATGCCAACTTCTACTCTTTATCTGAAATTGGTCATCTCAGCTCTTACATAGGATTGAAGCTTCTAAGCCAAACTATGATGCAGAAACTCAAAAAAAGAACTCCAGAAAGAAAGAATTTCTGCTTCCAATTGTAATGAGAACTGTTAATGACAGTAACTTCACACAAACCTCATTTCAGATTTTAGCAAAAGTGAAGAGTGGTGTGTTTTGTGTATGAGTTATTTATTGTGTATTTATTATCTATTTCTACATGCCAGCCTTGATTCTGCCTTAAAACATTAGGCAAAATATGCTCAGATCACTTTTGATGGGTGTTAAGACTGGGACCAAGTGGAAATTCTGTTCTCTGCTTGATTCCTCATGTATCTGAGAGTTGGCTGAGAGTCCTGGCTGAAGTGATGAGTCCTTTCCCTGCAAGAGTCTCACATCTCTCTCCAGACTTGGTTGGGCATGTTTTAATGGTATAACAGAGATGTAACAGTGAATTAATTGTAGAATGAGGCAAATGGGAGTTTGCATGTCATTTTTAAAAAATTTATTTATTTATTTACTTATTTTTTTTACACTTAAACCATAAGAAAGTCTCAAATGTCTTAGGGTTATTCTGTACATAAACCAAAATAGGAGACTTTTTTTTTATTAGTGAAACACCATGAGGTACAGTTGTAGACTTACAAATTTTTGTGCTTGGGTTTCCATTGTACAATGATCAAGTGCCCATCCCTCCACCAGTGCCCATTCTCCCCCTCCACTAATCCCAGTATCCCTCCCAACCCCCTCATCCCCCATATCCCACCCTGCCTCTGTGGCAGGGCATTCCCTTTTGTTCCCTCTCTCCTTTTGGGTGCTGTGCCCTGCAAAAGAGGCATCAAGTGGCAATCATGTTCGGTTTAGAGTCTACTTTCAGCATGCTTCTCCCATCCTGGGGGGATCCTCCCAATACCCCCCCCCCCATTTGTTGCTCCCTTCTACATCTGGGCTGCCTTTACCCCTCGAGTGTGAAGCTGGCCTCCAAGCCATGGGGTAAACCTCCTGGTATTAATCTTGGCTATTCTTGGGTGTTGGTCTCCTATTTTGTTACTTTATGTTCCCCAGATGAATGAGATCTTTCTATGTCTATCCCTCTCTTTCTGACTCATTTTGCTTAGCATGATATTTTCCATGTAGTACCACTTGCATGTAAATTTCATGACTTCATCTTTTCTGACAGCTACGTAGTATTCCATTGTGTAATGTACCAAAGTTTCTTTAACCAGTCATCTGTTTTCGGGCACTCAGGTTTTTTCCAGATTCTAGCTATTGTAAACAGTGCTGCAATGAATAGACAACTGCAGATGTCACTTCAACTATACTTTTTTGCCTCTCCGGGGTATATTCCCAGGAGTGGTATTGCTGGGTCAAATGGGAGCTCAATTTCTAGGTTTTTGAGAATCTTTATTTTTATTGAATCTCTGTGAGATAGACCCATTAAACTGTTTGATTAGGTTTCAGTCACAGTGTTCCAACACCCATCCCTCCACCAGTGTACATTTCCCAGCACCAGTGTCCTAATTTTCCTCCCATCATTCCCCCACCCCACCTCCAGTCTACTTCTATGGCAGGCACTTCTCTCTGTCTCTGTCTCTCCTTCTGTCTGTCTCTCTTTGTCTCCTTTTGGGCATTGTAGTTTGAAAAACAGATAGTGAAAGGTTGTTGTGTTATCCCTTTACCTACTTTTAACACTCAGTTCATGTTCAGCTTGATCATTTCCAACTATTATTGTCATACTGGTCCCTTCTCTTTCTTACCTACCCTCTGCCCCCCACACACTTGTGGTAAATTCTAATCATTGACCAGTTCCCTTAGCACTTGTTTTCCCTGACCTTGGATATCAGTCTAATATATATATATATATATATATATATATATATATACATATATATATAATATACCTGCATGTGATCTTGAAGATTGTATTCTTCAACCTTTGCTAATGCCACTTATGCCACAAATCACAAGCAGAGTATGGAATTTGTGTCAGTAGGTGGGAAAGTGGATCAAAGAGGCAGCTCTGAGGGCATGAATTTAGAGATAGGGAGTGTCAATAATCGGGGCCACCAATATTGTCTTCTGCATTTTGTGATTACATATAAATGTGTCATTATGAACTTGAATGTCATCTTCCTGTGCCTATGTTCCCAGATCAATGTACAGTGCGTTTTTTGACTTTTCAAGGATGCAAATCCACTGAGTGTCTTGCGAGTTTTAATTTTGGCTTATCAGAGGAGAATTTAATAAACCTG